GACCAGTGGTGCTGTGATGCCAGAAGCATGCAAGGGTTCTGCCCTGGCTAAGGAGAGGGTGGGGTGCCACGTGGAGGACGTTCCCCCAACAATATCGACTTAGTATACAGATTAAAATCAAATACAAATACGAATATCCATATTGACACTAAGACAAATATGCATACCGGACCTATGGCGTAGCGTGCACTACTACAGAATAGCACTTCACTGCCGACCTCATCACTGCCGGAATTAGGAGAATCGGCAGTGTTGACCCTTCACTGCCGGTTCTTGCCTCTAAAAACCAGAAATTGATTTGGGATGTGACCGAACCGGCAGTGATGACAACTATCACTGTCGGTTTGTGTTTCTAACCGGCGGTGGCTTGATGGCCACATATCACTGCCGGTTCAAACCAAGAGCTGACAGTGATTGGGCTCTATCACTGTCGGTTCTAGCCAAGAACCGATGGTGATAAGCCTACAACACAAAAAGGCTATAGCCGTCCTCTCCTTCCTCCTATCTTCCATTACAAGAACAGAGGCGCGCGTTTGGGCCCTTCCCTCCATTGTTGCGGCTGCTCTTCACCATGAAGCTAGCGCTTAAATTTTGAAGAATAGCTTGATCTTTTTGCTTTAAGGTTAGTAACAAACATCCACTCTTTTGATTTTGTTGCTTAATTAGCTTCGTTTTGATGGCTACATTGCTTGATTCTCATTCTAGTTCTTTCTCCATTCTAGAGAGCACTTTTCCAATTGGACATATAATTGATATTGTTGTTAACATTTTATGCAACATATAAAACACATCATGTGCAAAATATGAATACTATAATTAAACATGAAATACATAAATGACACAATGCTTGATTACTATGCATGATTATGATCATGATTAAGGTTTTATTAAGTGCTTAACACCGAGGGTGTTACACATCCTCAGCTATAGGCATCGGTAGCTTAACATTTTCAGCCATCATCAATTACATTAAGCTTAAATACAGCCTATTCGATTGTTCCCAATTACCATAAAAGGCAAGGTCGTCTTTAGAACTTTCTTCTGTAATGGCCGCAGGCTTTTCAAGAACAAGTGCTACATCCAAATCCATAGCACCTAAATGGATCCGAAGCTAAAACAGTTCGTGGTAGCTTAAAGAATCGTATTATCACATATTGATTTAACCAAAATAAAACATCTTTACATATATGCATAGCACAAATAGACATTTCATGTGCTAAACAACACAAACCCACCTTGCGCCATGTTTGCTCCTTGCATCTTGGAAATATTTCTCTCCCCTCTTCCTTCTTACCTTCCTTCTTCTCTTGATGATAAAAGAACTATTATACTTTCATGTGTTTTATGCGTAATCTTTTCTCTAACTTGGAGAAAATTTGGAGGAAATTTGGAGGGATGTGGTAGATTTTCAACTTATTAATGAAACTGATGTTGTCTTTTGGAAATTGGAAAATAATAGCACATTTTCTTTTAAGTCAGTATACATTGGCCTAACTAGAAATGATGTTGGTCTTTGCCATAAAAGAATTTGGAAAGGTAAAATTCCAGTAAAGATTAAAATCTTCGTGTGGACAATGACTAATGAAGCTATTTTGACCAAAGACAATTTACTTAAAAGGAAATGGAAAGGTGATCCTAGCTGCTCTTTTTGTGAGAATGATGAAAATATTTCCCATTTGTTCTTCCAATTCCTGTTGCGAAATTGATTTGGTCTGTTGTGGCAAATTGTTTTGGTGCAACTAACATTCCTAGAATTTGTAGCAATGCTAGAAGTCGTGTGAAGTCTAGCCCCCTTATGGCAAGAAGTATCATCCATGGGGTGTAGCAGCTACATGCTGGGCAATCTGAAAGAATAGAAACAAAGCCTGTTTCGAGAAAAAAACTCATTAAAAATCCTTTAGAGATTATTTACCATGCATGTGCTCTTATGCAGTATTGGACAGGTTTGTATGCAGAAATGAATAAGACACAGCTTGTTGAGGGGGTCAAACCATGCTTCGTGTGGCGAAGGAGATTCTAGCATCGCAGAGCGTGGGGACAAGCTGAATGGAGGCAACTGAAGAATGGTGAACAGCAGGATGACGAAGACAAATCTGCCTGAAGTGTTGAAGTGGAGCTGCTTTGTGATAGCAACAGGGTCAATTAATTTGGATGTGTTAGTGTTTCGAATGTTTTTTGCGTTGTACTCCCTCCGTTTCAAATTATAAGTCACTTTGACTTTTTTGTTTATCCATTTTGCTATGTATCTAGACATATGTATCTAGACATATTATTATATCTAGATGCATAGCAAAATGGATGTACTAAAAAAAGTCAAAGTGACTTATAATTTAAAACGGAGGAAGTAGTATCTTAGCCGTTTGAATGGTTGTGTTGGAACTGTCTTGGTAAGAACAGTCCAGGTTGGTTACTTGAGGTTGGTTCGCTAGGTTAATTAGTTCTGAGCCAAAACTCTTAGCTCCTGTTGGTTAGTGATATAGCCGCAGGTTTCTTTCTTGCTACTGTCTAATATGTGTGATGTTCTGAAAATACTTGTATTTCCGTTATGCTATAATGGAAATGGGGTTTTCGTCTCGTGTGGAAAAAATGTAATTTTTCTGTTGGTGAAATGCTCACCAACGACAGGAGTATTTTGTTTTTCAGTAGTGAAGGTTGGGGAAGGACTTTCTGATCCATCTATTAGCATATTTGCAAGATTGCAAGACTAGCTCAAGCATATGACAGAGAAGACATCACAAAATAGATAGTCATAACAAACATGATTACTATTGTATGAACTAGGTTTCTTGGATTTCATTTCAAAAGTTGAATTATATGATAAATTGCTAATTATTCATTCTTCATGAACACTCATTTCATAGTGATAATTGGCTATAAACTGAATGTTATGAACATCATGCTCAAAATATCATTTTTTATAGGACTACAACACACATTCAAACATGAATTATCACCACTATATTTTTTGTTCCCGCTGTAAACCAGACATAAAACTAGTGTATCAAATCAGCACATGGGCATAAATCTAGTGTATCAAAAATTTGCAGCTTAGAAAACGTAGTTTTCAAATCTGAGTGACTAACACTAGCACAAAAGGAATGCTAGGTGGGTAGTTTTCGACTTTTAGAGGCAGGCAGGCCGACTATCAACATAAATGATCCATTATACTAGCAAACATCATTTGACAGTGGTGGAGAAGCCTATCTCTATTAATGTCACAGAGAAGCAGGTAGGTTAAGAGGTTCACAGAGGGAGCAGGCCAAGTGAAGATGCCCACTACTTTAGGCCCTACCACTACACTATACATTCAGTTGTGACTAAGAATACGATGCTATATTTTAGTTAGTTTTGTATTAAAAACTCCGGCCCCTAGACAATTTGAAATGAAAAAAAATTTACTTTACGAAATTTATATCTTGTCAAGGACTACGATTTTAGTATAGAGTGTCTCCATCAAAGACCTTTGAAATTTTTTAAAAATTTGAATCTCAAATATTTGGAGCTCCAAGGCCGGCGATAACCATGACAGAGTGCCAGACAACTGACATAAGCTGGCGGGTTCCAAGGCTTGTATTAACCGGATGATCAGAATATTACTCAATTCCGAAACATTCTCATAACTCTAGAACAAGTACATATAGGCCCCGTTGGGCATAGCTCCATCACCGGCTCCTAGACCTGTTTAGAGCCGTTTTATGTCAAACAGGGTAAAACAAAATAGCTCCATTTAGAGTCCCTTAAATCCTGCTAAGACAAAAGATATGCACCAGGTGGAGCTGAAAAAAGTAGCTCCACCCGGCTCCATCCGCACTCCTGCATGCCACGTCTGTAGCCCTGTATGCCACTGCCCTTGTATTTTCGCAAAATTACGCAATCTGGCACCCAGTTTCTTTATCTCGTTCCACATCTCTCTCTCTCTGGCTCGTCTCGTGATGCCCGTGAAAGGGAGCGCCGCTGCCATGGCTTCCCAGCAGGCGACGGCAGCCCCGCGGTGTCGGCTCTTGGCCCGGAGCGGCTACAGGAGGCCCCCGACCGGCGGCCCGTGGCCCGACGCGGCTGTAGGTGGCCTCTTGGCCGGCGGGCGGAGGCACCCCCCGGGGCGGCTGCCGCTGGGCAGGCACGACTGCATGAGCTCCCTCCACCCCTCGGCCATGGACGCCTGCAGCTGTCGCAGAGAGCTCTCCAGCAGGTGGGCAGGGGTATATTGGACAATTGATATGTCTCAGCCATTGCATGATAAATAGTTGGAGCTGTTTTGTCAAAGGGGTATTCAAAACAGCTCCAGCTTCACCGGTGTAGTTATTTATGGAGCTGAAGCAAAAAAAAAAAAACAGCTGCTGTTAGTGAATTGGAGATGTGCCAAACTGGGCCATAGATGACATGAGGAACCGAACTCTGCCGTGCAGAGGTCTTTGGCTGTTGCGTGCGAATACCTTAAGCAAGGCTGGAAAGGTACGTACCTTGGCTCTGCAGTGCCCGTTGTTTTGGGAACAAGCCTTTTTCTATTCTTTTTCTGTGGGGACTCGGGGCTTTAGAAAATGACCACTCAGCCTTCCAAGTTATGCCTGAAGTGGGGAACTGGGGATAGCAGATGCATGCACACAATATATACAATTGCACTATTTTTTTTATATGTTGAGTACTCTTTTGCTCAACTCAAAGTGTGCACCAGACATGAGGGATCGAAACCTGTCGTGCTGACAACGGTCACTTGCATGAGACCAGTGCATGGAAAGCTAATAAGGGCATAAAACATAAAGTGAATCATATGGAATAATGAAAAGGGAATAAAGTCTGAAATAAGATGACTTGATCAAGTAATGCCATTATTGGGACACACGCATGCATGCAGACATCGGCGCAAGATGCTGTGTGCCATGCCTGCCAGCTACTCGATCAGCTCCATATATAATGCGTAGAGCCCAGCCCATGGGTGTGTGGGTCACTCAAAAGCTTCACTTCACCCCAATCGGCCAATCCCAGCAGCACCCAACAGCAGAATGGCGGATCAGAACGATGCGGAGTCCGGTGAAGCTAGGAAGAAGAACCCGCCATCGATATCGCCAATGTTGTACCAGCTGAAGAAGTACCTGCTGCTGCTGGCCACCCTGGTGGCGACGGTGACCTACGCGGCGGGGCTCAACCCGCCGGGGGGTTCCTGGCTGGAGGACGACACCGACACGCCGTCGGGCTCGGGCGGCGGAGGTCGACGGCACTTGGCCGGGGACTCCATCCTCCGGCAGACCAACTACATCCGCTACATCGTCTTCTACTGCTTCAACGCTATCTCCTTCGCGGCGTCGCTCGTCGTCAGCCTCCTTCTCCTCCTCCTGCACAGGGGCGACCAGGGCTGGCTGCTCAAGCTCACGCGGGCGATCATGGTGGTCGACCTGCTCGGCCTCATGGGCGCCTACGCCGCAGGAGGCAGCCACGACAGGTTCACCACGGTCTGCGCCGCCGGGCTGGTCGGCGCCACCTTTGCCTGCATCATCTTCGTCGTCCCCTGCATGATATTTAAACAAGACACGGCGGCGGCGGCGGCGGTGGGGGCATCGCGGAACGACGGCCACGACAATAACGACGACCACGAGCAGCAGTCCAAGCACGAGATCCTGCTGGTGCTCGCCATCTTCGTGGCCACCATCGCCTACGTGGCCGGGCTGAACCCACCGGGTGGCTTCTGGCGGAGCACGGAGGAAGGTCACCACACCGCCGGCGACCCCGTGCTGCAGGGCTTCCATCCGATCCGCTACAAGTTCTTCTTCTTCAGCAACACCGCCGCCTTCGTAACGTCCCTGCTGGCTATCACCATCACCGCCCACGAGAAGGTGGACCTCAAGGCTGTCAAGGTTCCGCTGTGTGGGCTCATCATCACGGCGATCTTGGGCCTCGGCGGCGCCTACGCCGCTGGGAGCTGCAGGGACAGCAGGCACACCGGCTACGTTCTAGCCCTAATTGTCCCAGTTCTTGGCTGCATCTTTCTCCAACGGTTTCTTGCCATCAAGCTGCGACATCACTTCGGCTTTGGTAGCGGGTATGCAGTATTTGTCTTTATCTTTGGCAAGCGTAGTTTAAATTTGAAGTTGAAATTTCATTTGGAAACCACGCATTTACCAGATTCGAACTAAACATCTTGATCTTTACTAATTTAAACTTGTTGATATATCTTTAACAAAAACTAGATACGCCTAACTAGATAATTAATCAACCAATAATGTGCTCCTACACTGGCTAAAATCTCAGGTGACATAAGTGTACATTAAAAGTTTGTGAACAAATTTAGAAAGTTTTTTTAGATAACGGGAGTTCCGGCTTAAGAGGCATCGCTCCAACAGAATACGACAAGTAGGAAACAAAAAAGTGTTCAACATTATTGACCAATACAAAATCTTAAAGGTCATCCATGAGAAGCAAAAAAACTCCATTGCTCTGATTTCTAGAACTTTCCACGCAGAAATTAACCAATCCTTTTGGTCATTAGTTCGCTGCAACAGAGCCCATAAACGAAGCCTGTGTGTCCCCCTGAGGAGTACCTACAAAAAGTTTTTGTTAGGCCATTTTTTAACACAAAATCATTCCTACTAAACCAAATTGCCCAGCAAACTACTGCAGCTCCTGTCAATAACAAAGACCTAAGATTTTGACCCCTTGCTTAGTCCAAGAATTAAACAGATAATTTATATTCTATGGAGGTTTGATGCCTAATACAAAGTACACAGGATGCCACAAGGCTTTGGCATAATGACACTTGAAGAAAAGGTGTTAGATAGTTTCTAACTCACTGCAAAAGCAACACAATTTACTACCATTCCAATTTCTTCTAGCTAAATTATCCTTTGTAAGAATAATCCCTCATTTAAAGTACCACATAAAAATTTTATTTTGAGAGGCAATTTCAAATGCCAAATTTCTTGTGTGACCTTAACTCCATTATTGACAAGATAACAATACATAGATTTGACCGTAAAAATGGCATCTTTGTGAAGACCCCACAGGCCCACAGAAAAGAATCCAAACCCTCATTTAAATTAATAAAAGTCACGAAAGGGCCTCTAGCCTAGTGGTTAGAGCACTTGAGTAGCATCCAGCATGCCTGGGTTCGACTCTCCATGGGACAAAATTTAAACAGATCCAGTATAAAAAAGTTATTAAAAAAAAGGTTGGAGTTTCCCCGCTGACTTTGGGTAAAAAAAATTAATAAAAGTCACACTAGCAACAATATTGTGCCAGTCAGTTAGCCTATTGCCCACTAAAGATCTTTTGAAGGAGACAATGACACTGAAATCTCAATCCCATTACGATAAATTCAGCAACTATTCTATATATTTCTCCATCTATATTCATAATTTTCTCGTTGTATTGGACCTTCTCATGTGTGTATTCAATATTTGTTTATTTGAAGGTTATAATTTTCTCGTTGTATTGGACCTTCTCATGCGTGTATTCAATATTTGTTTATTTGAAGGTTTTGCTTAAGCTATGTCAGCTCTTAGTTGCTAATTAAGTCTAGTGACTTCAAAAAACTAGATTTGGGATTTTAATCTTTGATCTTAATTCCTGAAATCTTTTGACCCATAAGTTAAGTTAAAGCTATAAGTAGTTATTTTGTAGTTGTTACAATGGCATAAATAGTTATTTTCAGCATGTAACAAGATTCTCTATATTCTAAACTTGATCTAAGAAAGGATTATGTGTATCAAACTATCAATGTAGATGTCCTTTAAAAAAAACAATCAATGTATATGTCGTTTTAAAAAAACTCGGTCTGCGGGTGGAAGACACCCCCGAGCATTGTGCTTTAAGGTAGAAAGACCTCTCATGCACGCCGAGGAAATCCCCGAACCCCATGCCCCGCCTTTACACAGTGGCACCATCGCTCTGTGAGTGGGCTGGTCTTTAGACTTGTGCTTTGGAACGTAGGACAGGCGAGGCGATTTTTTTAATTCTAAAGTTATAATTTTTATATGAAGTAACATTGTACATAGTTTATTATTATAGGGTATTAATATGATTTAAAATAAATTGTTAGTGCCATTGGTATGTGATTTGTTAAGGGGACATTTTTCTTGATTGAAAAACTATAAAGTTATGTATTTATCTCTTATACATGCATGTGTATATGTTTGGTATTCATGGTAGCACGTAGCACACATCATGTATAGGTGGGCAATTTATGTAAAAGTATTTAGGGGTTACTTTATGCTATTTTTTGATAATGTCATTGTTTGATAGTTTAGTTGAAGATTTGGGTAACTTTTCATTATTTTTCATAACGGAAAGGGTGTGTAATTTTTTTTTTGAAAGGGGTGTGTAATTTTTTTATAAAAATGAAACAAATACAATGTTGATTATTATGGCAATGATAGTTCAAGTTATTTACCGAATTAGTCGCCAAGCATTTCTAATTTTTTTAGATTTTTCATTAGTATCGTTTTGTCACCAAATGATAGTTATGTATTATTCTAGATTGCAAATTTGTAGTCATCTACTATTTGTGCAATATATTTAGGTCAACGAGCAGTGGAGAACACAATGATCTGGAGAAGCCTCGTGAAGTCATTCAGCTGCTCGCCACTCTCGCGGCGACGGTCGCGTACCAAGCAGGAGTGGATCCACCTGGCGGCGTCTGGGCTGACACCGGGGAGGGCCACATCGTCGGAGACCCGATCCTCCTGACGACGCATCCCGGGCGGTACAGGGTCTTCTTCTACTTCAACTCGGCGGCCTTTGTGGCGTCCCTGGTCATCATGGTGATGCTGCAGAGCGAGCGCCTCGTGAGAGGGCACGCGCTGGAGGCGGCCATGATCCTGGACCTGTTCGGCCTCATAGGCGCGTACGCCGCTGGGAGCAGCAGGGACACGAGCACGTCCATCTACACGCTCGCCATCGCCGGAGGCGTCCTTGTCTACGTGGTGATCCACATCGTGTTCTTTACGCTAGACCATCATCCCAGCAGCAAGAAGCAGGGCGGTGGCGAGGAAGCTAAGAAGAAGGAGGATGTGATGGAGAAGAAGCGCGAGGTGCTGCTGCTCCTCGCGATCTTGGCGGCAACCCTCACCTATCAGGCTGGCTTGACGCCGCCGGGAGGCCTGTGGGAGAACGATAGCTCCGGGCACCGCGCCGGCTTCCCGGTGCTCCTGGACAAGTACCCTCGCCGTTACAAGGCCTTCTTCTACTGCAACGCGGCGAGCTTCATGGCGTCCGTGGCGCTCATCGTGCTCCTCCTCAACCCAACCCTTTATGCGCCGGGCATCAGGTGCTACGCGCTCTTTGTCTGCATGGTGGCCGGCATGTTCAGCCTCATCGGTGCATACGCTGCCGGAAGCTCCCTGCATCTGGGAACCTCCATTGTTGACCTGGCATTGGTTATTGCGGTTTTCGCAATCGTAGTCTATGTGGCCATCATCCGCCATGGTCAGCAAAACAGGCAGCCGAAAAGTCAAGCCGCACAAGATAGCAAGAACGACCAGTCCTCAACGACAACTCAAACACATAGTCAGTCTTCAGACGACCGAAGAACTCCAGAGCAGAAACCAGCAGATTTGAAGAAAGAGTCGTTGGACATGATGATGGCCAAGTACCTGATGCTGGTAGGGATACTGGCTGCCAGCGTCACCTACCTCACCGGCCTGAAACCACCGGGTGGCCTGTGGAGGGAGGACGGCGCCGGGCACGACGCCGGCAACCCGGTCCTCTACGACGTCGACAGGCATCGGTACAACGCTTTCTTCTACAGCAACTCCACTTCCTTCATGGCTTCCATCACCGTCATCGCCCTCCTGCTTTCGCGGATGATACTTGGAAGCAACAAGCCTCTTTGGCCCATGCACACGGCCATGCTGCTGGACATGCTCGCCCTCCTGGGATCCTACGCCGCAGGCAGCGCTCGGGACTGGTGCACGTCCAAGGATGTCGCCCTGCTTCTCTTCCCTATACTGGGCTTCGTTTTGCTGCTCTTCTTCTGGAAGAAAGAGCCACAATCTGCCGCCACCCAACAGAATGCTCACTCCTAGTGCAGCCTACACTCCGCCTGCTGGCCAACATGGACATGCTTAACACTGATCTATCTGCTGTTTTTGTTGTGAATATCGTCTGCTGCTTGTTTGATTTAATTTAATAAGCTTTCTAGCAAAGTCTTTAATTGTAGCATACTTTCTAATAAAGTTGGAAACTTGGATTCCAAGGTGTGTGTAGAGATGTCGAGTTGTTTGCTCCCTTATGTATTCATTTGCTATATAAGAGAATAATATATAATGAACAAAAAGCATCTACGGATGTCATTATGTGGAACCAAATTAACATGTATCTAGTTGTCGATGTAAATCATTAGGTAGCAAGTCGATATAAACATTGACATCCTGAATTCAAATATCTCAAGAGTAAGCATTTGGCAGTAAGTCGATATAAATCATGCATAACCATAATATAGTTCAATGCAAGCTACCAAACGGTTTTATCAACTTTAGCACTTAAATCACGCAAATAGACGGTAATGGGGCCCTTCATTCACCTAAACCACTCCCAACATCATTGGATGTGTTTTTAGAAGAAAAAAAACGGGCACTACCGGAAACAGTAGGTATGCCGAGTGCCTGAGGGTTTGCCGAGTGCATTCTATCGGGCACTCAGCAAACCTGCTGTGTGCCAAGTGCCGCTGTGGAAACATTCGGCAAACATATTGCACTCGACAGAAAACCCTATTTGCCGAGTGCCTTAAAGTAAACACTCAGCAAATCATAACGAAACACTCGGCAAACATCAGGCACTAGGCAAAATAGCAGCACGTGCGCCGGCCATGCAACGCCCGCCAGCTTGATCGCCCTGCTGTTAGAACTTGCCGAGTGTCCGTTAGTGATACTCGGCAAAGACATTATTTGCCGAGTGTTTCTTTGTGGCACTCGGCAAATTAATCATTTTACTGAGTGTTTTGTGTTGGCTCTCTACAAAGCCTAAACTTTTTCCCCCTTCTGCCCTTGAAACTTTTTCTACTCTATACATACAACATGTGGTACTCTATGTTAAGATTTGGTATATTTCTGGAACCATTTGCTATATTTAATTAATTTATTGCATTTCAAGGAATTTTTTGGTATAAGTCAAATTCGAACTACAAGTGATTCAAATAATAGAATAAAATGAGTAGAAAAATGATATTCATGTTATTGAGTCCGGTGTGAGGCCTTACTAGGGAAATGAAAAGAAATTTCGAACATCTTGTTTAGGAAACACGACCACGAACGTGTGGCCGAATGGTTTTTAAATTCTAAAAAAAGCAAACGAAGTCTGAAAATCATGAGATTTGTCAAGATCTCGTGATATCATACGTGAAGGCTGTGGTAAAAAATTGAGAAGGTTTCGGACAATCTGTCATGTATGATGTTTACAAACCGAGGTATCTCACAAGAAGAATCGTAGCGTTGAGAAGGATTTTGGTAAGATTTGGAGTCAAAGTAACGGTCGAATTGGGGTTTGACTTTAGAACTTTTTGTATAGGCAATAGAGAACATAGATTGACTTCAGAATTTTTTGTATAGGCAATAGAGAACAAAGATTAATTCATGTGTAATTTTGGTAATTTCTTTGGATCCGTGCAATTATAGAATTTTAATTGATATACATTGAATTTGAGCGACAAACTGCATGAAATAATAACTTTTTTTCACTTATGGCCTTGAAACATTTTCTACTCTCTGCATACAACATGTGGTACTCCATGTTAAGATTTGATATATTATAATGGAATAATATTGGTAGAAAAATCAAATGAAAAAAAGAAGGAAACGAAGGAAAAAAAATGGGTTTGCCGAGTGCCCCTAATCTGGCACTCGGCAAAGATGGGTTCGCCGAGTTTCAAATCTGGGACACTCAGCAAACATCTTTAAGGGCCACACACATACGCAGTTTAGGTATTGAAAAATAAAAAAAAACAAAACGGGGGTTTGCCGAGTGCTAGATCGCGGGCACTCAGCAAACCTCCCTCGTAACCACCCCAATCCTGCACCCGGCTGCACACACGCACACACTCAAACCTTGACACACAGCCACACGCCCGCGCCCGCCCACACCACCGCCCGGCCCCACCGCCCGCGCCCACACCAGCCCCCGGCGCTGCTGGTCTCGCGCGCCGCCGCCCGCCCACACCCGCCGACGCCGCTGGTCCTGCGCCCGCCCACACCACGCCGCCGCGGAGGCCAACCGCCACTGCGGAAGCTCAATGCCGCCACCACCCCGGAAGCCTGACGCCGCGACCGTTGCCGTCCCCTCCGGCCCTGCGCGCGCCTGGCGGTAGGCACCCCCCGTTGGCCGACGCCCGGTGCCCTCTCCCGGCCTCGCACGTCCACGCCGGCCTCCCGCGCACCGTCCCCACGACCTTGCTGGCCTCCCATGTCGTCGCGGAAGCTTGACACCACCACCGCCCCGGAAGCCCGACGCCGCCACCGCTGCCATCCTCTCCGGCCCTGCGCGCGCCTGGCGGCCGGCACCCCCCCCATTGGGCGGCGCCCGGTGCCCTCTCCCCGCCCCGCGCGCCCTCCCCGCGACCCTACTGGCCTCCCGCGCTGCCGCGGGCGTCGTCTCCAGCCTCCAGCGACCCCGCTGGAGACGAAGCTCTCCCACAGTAAGCACTTCTCTAAGCATTTTTTCTTGCCCTCTTTTTTTCCAGACTTAGTTCCAAGCTTCCAATCAATCAAGTGCTCGATGAAATTCCATTATTAATATTTTTATGGATGTCTCATGTCTGTACCTGAGTTCAAGAAGATGTTGGTCACGGTAAACATATTGGCTCATGGAAAATTGATGAATTTTAGTTGCACTCATTGTCTTTCTCAAGTGAGTACTACAAAATTGATGATTTGCTTTTGGGGTTCTTTGTATATATTGACATTGATAAAAGTTCTGAGATTCGGTGCTTAGGCATTAATCTATTCATGTGATGTTTTAGTGTCAAGCCCTGCTTGTACTGTGCATCCTGATTGTACACATTTCCAGGATTGCTTTATCTAGTTACTAGCATCTCGTTGTGTTCTTAGTCCCTGATATCTTGCAATATGGTTCATTTTGGTTCAGTGTAATCGATCAGTTCCATCATGAAGATGCATTTTCTTGTCACAACGTCTTGAAGTTAAGAACAAGTTCCTATTGTGATCATCGTAGCATGTGTATGTGGTTGTCGGCCATCGTGCCGTTGATTTGATGTGTATGTGGTTGTCAGCCATCGTGCCGTTGGTTTGATGTGTATGTGGTTGTCGGCCATCGTGCCATTGGTTTGTTGCAGGTTTTGGTTACCTCACCGTGGAGGGGAGGTGCTGCCGAAATTTACAATTGACACTATTATGTTCATTTGTTGCAGGAGAGGCTATTGCAAGGATTATTCCCCACTGTCCTCGACTCGTCACTTTGCAGGACAGCAAGGTGAGGCATCCTACACCCCTCTTTCCATATCATGTTCGTATATCACGTAACCTAGCTAGGCGTCTCCCGTTCGAAAGAGATACGGTTGGAAATATGTAGATCTTTGCATATCTATAACCGTATATGTTTCGAATTGTCCATGTTTTTTGGACAGTCGGAGGATGTGTAGATGGAGTTAGTTTCCATGCTCTACTCGGATCCAAGACAGAGTTTCAGCAGCATCTCCCTGTTGTTCTCTGGATACACAATCTCCCTACCAGGATGTGTATTTGGAGAACAGCGGGGAGGTGTTGCCGAAATTCTGTCTCGGATAGGAGTAGAGCATGGAAACTAACCCCATCTCCACATCCTCGGGTGGGATTAGGACCTATCTTCACCTATTAGACAGTATAGGGACCTGTAGATGCAATTGATTTTTATATTACTTGGTGATATGTTAGAGGATGGATGACCGTGGGTGGATGTACACAGGCCGCTCTAGTCAGGGTTCGTTGACCAATGAATGGATTGAGAAGACCGATGCTTTCTTGGAACTAGCATTTGCAAGGGTTAAAGGAGCGCGTGGCACTTGGTGTCCCTGTAGCATTTGTGCAAACACGCATTGACAAACAAAGGTGGTCATGGGTAAACATCTTTGCAAGAATGGATTTACGGCGGACTATACCCGGGGGATCTACCATGGTGAATCCAATCGTGTGAGAGATGAGGTCGTGAGACAACGCATCGGGGATTATGATGCTGATGCCGGGGTAGGAGACATGTTAAATGACTATCATGAAGCACACTTCGATGAAGGACGTAGGGAGGAGGAGCCAGAGCCAACCACAAAGGTGTATTACGATATGTTGTCTGCGGCACAGGAACCCCTTCACGGGCATGCCAAGGTTTCTCAACTGGATGCCATTAAACGCCTAATGGCCGTAAAGTCCCAATTTAGCTTGAGTCGAGAAGCCTTCGATGTTATGCTGACAGTTGTTTGTAGTCTGCTACCGGATGGTCACATCCTACCAAAGAGCATGTATGAGGCACAGAAACTCCTTCGTGCACTTAAGATGCCATATGAGCAGATACATGCTTGTCTGAAGGGATGCATCTTATTTAGGAAAGAACATGTGGAAGCAAAGTACTGTGTGAAGTGTAAATCATCTAGGTTCCTTGAGGTAGACTCTGGTGATGGTCAGAAGAGGCAGCTCACCATCCCCGTGAAGATCCTACGATACCTTCCATTCATACCGAGGATCCAACGACTTTATACGACTGAGGAATCCGTGAAACAGATGACATGGCACAAATACGAACGTCGATACAATCCTTAGAAGCTGGTGCATCCATCCGATGGTGAAGTATGGACAAGGTTTGATATGATTCATCGTGAGAAAGCTCTAGAGGCTTGTAATGTACGTGTTGCGCTGGCAACAGATGGGTTCAATCCTTATGGAATGGCGGCTGCCTCATACACTTGTTGGCCCATGTTCATTATCCCTCTCAATCTCCCCCTTGGCGTCCTCTTTCAACGACAGAACATATTCTTGTCGTTGATAATTCCTGAACACCCAGGGAATAATATGGGTGTGTATATGGAGCCTCTGATTGGTGATTTGGT